ATTCACGTGCAGCTGAGTGAAGTTAGAGAAAATTAGAAAACCGTGCTCATTGGGTCTACTATAAATACATTCCCTCGCTTGGGTGCCTGTACTCGGAGGTCAGATACAAGACTATTTTTCTCTCTAGCCTCAAAACACTATCCCTGACAATTTTCTCCCCAGCTCAAAGACCCCACCTCTGGCAATAACTCATGAGCGGGCCCAGTGAGGTAAACTATCTCACTATCTCTCCCTGTTACAAGAACAAGCTGACCTCTGTAGAAATTCCCTTGTACCATCTTTTTTGCTGGATCTTCATCCAAATCACTCGGGGCTAAAGGTGGGTGTCCCACAGCGCTGTGGCCTTAATTCTCTTCTTTTCATCCTCTATACTATTTCATTTGGGAGCATATCAGCTCCCTGGATTCAATGATCTGTATGTTGATGGTTCTCAAATCTACTTATCCAGCCCTAACCTCTGTTGATCTTGTCAATTGTACATCTTAAACTGGATGTCCTGTAGACATCTTAAATTCAACAAGTCAAAAACTAAATTCATTAGTTATCCTTCCAAATCTTCCTCTCTTCCTTATTATTATCCAGGGAAACACCATCTTCCCAGTCACCCAGACTCATAATCTAGGTGTTATCCTCATTTCCTTACTCTTTCACCTCCTATATGCAGTCTGTTCCCAAGGCCTGAACATTTGACCTTCCTAAGATCTTTCCTTTACTGCACCCTCCCCACACCATTGCCTCTCCTCCCATAGCACCACCATCCTGTTGCAGGCCTTCATCATCTCATGCTTGGACTATTACAGTGGCCTTCCTGCCACAAACCTCAGTACTCCTGTCCTCTTCCACTTAGCTGTCAGATTGAACTTCCCATCACCTCCACGAAAAAAACATAAAATCTTGTCTGGCTTTTGAAGCCCTTTATAACCTGTCCTATCCACCTTTCTAGTCTTCTTTCACCTTATACCCTTTATGTGCTCTGCACTCCAAAGGCACTGGCCTGTTGCTGTTCCTTGAACAAAACTCTATCTCTCAACTTTAGGTATTTTCTCAGGCTGTCCCACATACCTGGAATAATCTCATCTCCTGTATTCTTTCAAATCCCAAATAAAATTTCATCTTCTACATGCTTCCACCTTTCCTGATACTCCTCAATTCTAGTGCCTTCCCTCTTTATTTCCAATTTATTCTGTATATAGCTTCTTTATAGTTTTCTCTCTTCTCTTTCCTCTCCCTCCTCCCCCCTCCCTCAATTAAATTGTGAACTCCTCCGGAACAGGGACTATCCTTTACTTTTCTTTGTGTCTTCAGGGCTTTGCAGTGTCTGGCATGTAGTAGGTACTTAATACATGTTTATTCACTAGCTGAAAACACCAATGTATTTTTAAAAAATCTGACAATGTATGGCATTTTTCATCTCTCCACTTCTGAAAACTAGGTGGTGGTGGGGGCGTTGTTTTCTTCTTTCTTTTCTTTGGGGCCAAGCTTGCTTTTTATAACTTGGCAACATTCATTTTCAATTGTTTTGATTATTCTTTCCATTTACATTGTTGTAGTCATCTTCTATTGTCTTCTTGCCTCTGTTTACTTGACTTTGCATAAATTCATTTATGGTTTTTCATGATCCTCTGCATTCATTATATTGTCTTTTCTTACAGCACAGTAATATTTCGTTATATTCACGTACCACAATTAGTTTAATCTTTCCTCAATTGATGGTCACTTGCTTTGTTTCCTCTTTTTCTCACTACAAAAAGCACCACTATAGTTTTGTTGCATATGGAACCTATTTTTTTTTTTAAATCAATGACCTCCTTGGGGTATATGCCTAACAGCCGAATCTCTTGGTCAAAGAATATGAACATTTTAGTCATTTTATTTGCATAATTCCAAATTGCTTTCAGGAACACAGCTCTACCAGCTTTAGTATTAGAGTGCCTGTATTAATTGGTACTTTAAAGCTAGCTCACTTTAGATAAAACCCAGTTGATCATAATTGGTTTTTATGTATATCCTTAGGATCTTCAGGATCCACCGCAAGGGAAAGGGAACCCAACTTTCAGCACTCCAAGAAACAAGTCTTTACATGTATCTATGTTAGAGTTAATTTTATCATTCTAGATTGTTGAGATCTCTTTGGATGCCAATTCTATTACCTAATGTGTTAATTATCCCTTCCAGTTTCCTGTCATTCTTAAACTTGAAATAGCATAGCATTTTCCTTCATTCAGGTCACCAGCAGAAACTTTGAACAAGACTGTTCGAGGGCAGAATACTGAAACATTCCACTGGAGACAGATCCCTAGGTTAAAATTGATCTATTAATCAAAACTTGGGTTACAACTAGTCAATTAGCTCTTTATCCACTTTGTTGCTGGAATCTACATATTGTGTATACTTTGTCTATAGGGTTCTCATGATTCAAAGAAACTGGTGAGGTCCGAACCATAGTACAAGGTCCACATTGACCCATCTGCTTATTTTCCATGTGTACTATATCCCAGCTTTGCTACCTGATCAATAATGCCTTGCGTTCCCTTTCAGCAACATTGAATTCTGGTTCCCTTCTACACTAACCTCTTTAACAAATGTTGACAATGATCTATACACTTACTAAAATACAAGATGAACATGGGTGTTCCCTAAAAGTCTGTCTAGAATTCTCTTCTCCCTGTCATCTGGCTTGGTGACCTCATCAGCTCCCATGGTTCCAACTATGATCTCTATGCAGATTGATTCCCAGAACTAAATACCTTCTTCCTAAGTTCTAGTCTTCAATCACTAACTGCCTATTGGACCTTCTGAACTAGATATTCCAGACACCTCAAACTCAACATATGTAACACAGAACTCATCTCCCCTACCTTCTCTTCCAGATTTCCCTATTACTATCCATGCCTGAAATGTTCACCCTTCTCACCCCAACGTTAAAGTTTCCCTGGCTTCCTTCAAGCTTCAACTCGAATCCCGTCTTCTGCAGGTGACCCTTCATAAACTTTTCCCCCCTCCCCCATCAGTGCCTCTTGAGATTACCTTTCTATCGTTCATATGTCCAATTCTTCATGACTCCAAGAATTATTTTTTCCATGGGGAAAACTCCATGGAAGATACTGGAGTAGTTTGCCATTTCCTTCTCCAGTGGATTTTTTTTTTTTTTTTTGTCAGAGCTCTCCATTATGACCCAGGTAACTGCACGGAATAACTCAGTTTCACTGAGCTATGCAAACCTCTCTGTCAAAACAATGCAGTGATCTAGGATGGGCTCTTTTAAGCAAATGAGTTGATTTGTCAAGGGTCACATAGCTAGTAGTGTCTAAGGCTGGATTTGAACTCCTTGAATCTTCCTGTCTTTAGGACCAGCATTCTATCCTCTTCATTCTCTCTCTAAATATAATCTATCTATATCTATCTTATATATAGTTATTTATATGTTGTCTCCATTAGAACATGAGCTCAGGCTGATTATAAATATTTTGTGACTTAGTAGGTCATCTGGAGTTGCTATATCCAAAGTATTTATCATCCTTAAGCCAGGGATGAAGTTCTTAACAAATGTAGATTGTTCAATGGATTACAAAAATCAAGCCCATTGCCAGGCATATAACTGAAGGCTTTCCAGTTCGGTAGGACCTGCCATAACTTATCAGCTGGCACAGCCTTGAAGATATCAGGATCATCTTACCACCAGAATGAGGCATCAGAGGTAAGACTAGGGCAAAGAATCCCATTATTTAATGGCATTCTTATCTAAATGCAGTAAGATAAACACACCAAAACATGTATTTTAACTTAGTATAAAAAATAAAAATAGGGATGACATTAGAGTATGAAACAAGATGTATGTTAGAGGGAGGAAAGGTAAACAAGTAGGATGATATCAGAATGCTATAATTAGCAGAGCAGTGGGAATCAAAGAGGAAAAGAGATTCACTAAGGGGAGAAGCTCATGAGAACAGACAGACTTAAAAGAGGCAGCAAGAGTCTATCACTATGGTGGTGTGAACCTAGCACCTGGAACAGCTTGACCTGGGTGAAGAAATAAGCTGATTGTCTTTACAGGACAAAAGGTGTAGAGGGTAGGGAAGGAAGAGGTTCTGGATAGAGATAAAAATTCAAACTCTTTTTCTGGTTGATGCAAAAGTATAGTTCAAGATTTCAACAATAAAGTACTTTACTCAAAATGTAAGTTGAAAGCAAGAAAGATGATTATATGAAAATGAAGGAAAAAAAACTATACATAAAACCTTTTTCCCTATTCTGTAGTTATCTTAAAAGCCATACTGAAGCAACCTTTGTAAATTTGTTGATGGCAAAAATGGCAAGTCAGTAAGAGGACTATCGGAAGAGAGGAATATTAATAAATTGTTGGCGGACCTGAACTGGTCCAACCATTCTGCAAAACAATTTGAAATTATGCAAGAAGAAGTGACTAAAATGTCTTCTGATCCACAGATAACCTCTGTTTGGCACCTAAGGCAAGGAGGCCAGACAGAAATACTATAAATACCAAAATATTCATTGCTACTACAAAAAGAGGGCTAAGAACTAGAAACAAGGTGGATGCCCATCAACTGGGAAATTGCTAAATGACTGCTGAATATAAATGTAATGGAATATTCTTGCATTAAAAAAAAACCAAACCAACAAAAACAAGCAATTCTGAGAAACAGGGGAAGATATATAGGTGCTGAGACACTGTGAAGTAGAACCAAGAAAACAAATATACACAACCACAATGTAAACTAAAACGACAAATCAAAACAACGCTATATGTATGTAATTCCAATAACCAAGTGTGGCCCTGAAGAAAAGATGAGGAAATGCTCTTTCTTTTTTTCTTTCAATGCAAAGGTGGGGTGGGGAAAGAACAAAAGTGTTGAAAATTCTATCACTGTGAGATGAGATAAAAGTGTTGGGTGTTTTTTGCTGAACTTTTTGTCAAAAGAGAAATAGGGGAGGTGGAGTATATTTGGATATGATTGTGATGTAAAAACAAAAGCCATCAATTAAACTTTTATAATATATATTAAAGTAGACAAATAATTTGTATACATGTCATTAAGGGTAAGATTCCTTAATACAGCAGAGAGAACCTTGTTCAACAACCTTCTGATTAGCTCAACAACCCAAGCACCCAAAGTGACATAATTACTTATCTTTTGAGGAGGTAGAGTGGTACTACTTACTATGTTAGTATAATCAAGGGCACTTTTTCCCTTTTAAAAAAAAATTGCAGTACACTGGAACTGACAAATTAAGTCAAGAACAGATTACAAAATTTAGAGTCAACACTGAATTACTTCAACTCACAGTTTTACAAATTTTTCACAAATAAGATTCTTGCCAATAACGATACTATTATAGGTACATTTCGTACTTCTTTGGAATCTTCTCAGAAATTCAAAGTATCTTACACACATCATCTCACTTATTTTCACAAAGTCCTTGTGAGCAAAATGGTTTGTTCAGGTATAACCATTATTACCAGATGAAATAACCTTATTCTTCTGACCTTCGGTCCTACAAAACTATTCATCGAATAAGGATATTCAGTACTATTTTCTCCTTTTAAAAAAGGAGATTCAAAAGGAGTCCAACTTTTTTAATTTTAAAGATAAAAATCAATTGATAAGGGAGAAGTTGTTTCTGTCCAGTGCTCTGTGTACATCTTCGAGAAGCTGTTAGAAACAGAAATAAATAATTAGTTACATATAGCTATTAAATTAATACTTTCTATTATAACACTTTCCAATATTCTGCAAGACTGGGCTACAATTTACCAAATATATATAAATGCAAATATTATCATACTAACTGGAAGAATTTTCTGGAGGACAAGGTGTGATTAGCTAGTAAGTGTACAGAAGTCACATAACTTCTCTGGGCCTTAAATTTACCTTTAAGACAGAGGAAATGAGTAGGAGGGACAGTTAAGGGAAGGGAATAAGCACTAAGCTAATTGATTTTACAAAGATCTCTTTTGATCCTTAGAACAACCCCTGGAGAGAGACTGGATTTGAACTCAGGTTTTCTTGACTCCAGGACCTGTCTCAATTGTACCAACAGTTGCTTCCACTGTATGATCTACTACCGATTAAAGATTATCTGGTCCAAATCGTTAAATGATTTTTTTTTGCAAGGCAGAGCTGGGGCCAAAACCAATTTTTTAAATCATAAAATATGATTTCAGAGTTGGAAGGGACCTTTGGGATTATCTAGTCCGATCTCCTCCATTTTTCAGATGAGAAAACCGAAGTCCAGGGAAGTGAGTGACTGGTCCAAGGTAACACATACTGCTGCCAAAATCTTGACAAACAGTATTTGCACAGGGTATATGAAAGACCCTCTTGGATGGAAAAGACTAATACATGATTACTGAGTGTACACTCACTGAGACTCATGAAAGATTAGAATGGGCAGGAACCTTAAATTATCCCAATCCCTTTATTTCACAAAATTAGGAATCATGCTCAAATTGAGGAAGTAATTTGCTTGATCACAGAGCAAGGCAGTAACAGAGATGGGATTAAACCCACATGCCCAGAATATTTTCCATACCCACTGAAAGTTTCTATTAGTCTTTCAAGAAAGGCAAAGTATACAAAGTGATGACCTAAGAGTGAAGAAGACCTGAGTTCAGCTCCTTCCTGATACATACTAGCTAGCTCTGGCAAGAATTTCCACACAAATATTACAGATCCACAGCAAAAACAAAACAACAAAAACCTTAATGTTAAAGTGATTAAAAGTCCCAATGCTTCTTAAGAACAAATGAGGCTTTGAATTAAAATATTCAGAGCATCAAAAATCCCATCAGTTTGAAAAGAAAAAAAGCTTTAAACTATGGTCCAGAGTCCATCTCCTTCTTTGCAGAAGTGGGAGACTATGAGTGTAGGACATTGCATAAAAATAGTGTTAGACCCAATTGAAATATGTGGTTTTATTGAACTGTTTCTTCTTCCCCTTTCAAAACAAAATTTGTCACAAGAGATGGACTGTTAGTTGTAGAGGGAAGAAAGGATATATAAGCCCAATCTAATCAATGTAAAAATGTCAATAAAAATAAAATGGTTTCCATATGATGCCACCAAATGTGAAATATATTTAAAACTATCTGATTGTTATTTTTGTGTTTCCCACAGTGCCTTGCACATTATAGTTTCTCAAAAAATATATGTTAACTAAATGAAAGCATGAATAAATGCAATGAAATGGTGAGTCCTGTTCTTTGATAGTCTGACTATGGAGTTATCATTCTAGAAGCCTTCTTATGTCCCTGGTTCTGATGCTCACAGAGTAAGAAAGTTACAATAAAAAAAATAATTTGGAAACCTTAAAAATTTTTTTTTAAAAGACCAAAACAATTTCAAGAGTTTACTAGTCAATGTAAAAGGTGATATACATGCCACCAAAATCCTCTTCCCCATCAAAGTACAGTAGAGAGTAAACATTCTTTTAACATTTACCTGGTTAATCTATTAAGAGGAATAAAACTTCTTCGAATTTGCCACAGTCATGTGACTTAAGAAAGGTTTTCAGGTCCCTGCAATATCCTTCCCTTTTCAATGAAACCCTTGTTTAACACTGCATTATTACGAATTGTCCTGACACATCCCTCCACCAATAACCTGGACAAGATTTCCTTTCCAATTTGCAGGGCAGTTTTTGAGTGGACCAGAGGGGAAAGGGAGTAAGAAGAGAACATTACACATACATATACAGACACACACAGACATAAAAATAGAAGAACTAAACACTTGGTGGTATATACCAGTCCCCCTACCCCCCCCCCCCGCACCAACCAGGGCCCATCCATGCTCCAGAAATATCAGCACCCAACTCGTTTCCCAGGTTTCCGGCACGGCACCTACTCAGGCACCCCAGATGCTGGGAATGAGTCCCCCTCCAGCTCTCACTCTAGGCCCGGGTGGAACCCGAACCCCACGAGCGAAGGCGGCGGGGCGCGGACCGAAGCCAGGCCGCGGTGGCTCCCAAGGTCACCCGGCGGGCCCAGGGGCATGCCCGTTCCCCTCATGGGGAGAGGAGGCCCGGGCGGTCGGGGCTCTCCCTCTCACCCCCACCCGAAGCGAGGCAGGCGCGCGGCCCGGCCCGCGGCCCCGGCGGCGCGGACTCACCCGAGGCTCCGCACTGAGAGAGGCGAAGCGGCCCGGGCCGGTCCTCAGGCCCGCGGCGCCGCCGCCGCAGCTGCTGCCTCGGGGCGGGGAGGGTCCAGGCACTCAGGACAAGTCCAGCTGCCTCTGCGTTTCTTGCAGCTGTTTCTGCAGCCGCTGCTTCTTCCAGCCCAGGAAGCGCCTCCACATGCGGCACGCCTGCCAGCCCAAGAAGAAGCCCGAGGCGAAGGTCACCGCCACGGCCACACGCAGCTTCCGATCCGCTAAGTCTTTCATGGCAATGCCAGTCCCGGCACCAGGCACCCGACAGCAGGAGCGCCGGACGGCAGCGCAGCGGGGACAAAAAGGCTTGCACTCGGGCGGCCCCCGGGAAAGGTGGAGGACCGTGAGCGCGAGCCGAGATGAAACCCGCGGTCGTGGATGTGCCCGGTGCGCCTGCGCTGCTCTTGCCCCGTCGCTCCCCGGCCTGTGCCCAGTGCGTCTGCGCTGCTCCCCGCTGCTCCCCTCTGCTCTACCTCTTGGTATATGAGATCTAGAGAGGTCGGGGCAGTGCGGTCAGTAGACGAGCAAGAAGAGTTTGCTGTGTGCTGGGCATTGTGGTAAGAGCTGCTAATACAGAGAATGGTACCTACCCCCCACTCCCACCCCTAGCAAAATGCTCCTGACCTCAACGAACTCCTATTCTAATGGGGGAGACTGCACAAACAACTATGTATATACAGTGTATCTTAGGGGATAGATAATAACATCATTATGTTAGAGTCAAGTTGTACAGTGTGTCCAGCTGTGACTGATTAGACCAATACGAGCTTGGAATGCTCTACAGCAGGTCGGACGCAAATAGTTCCTATGAACATTTGGGGAATTTGCGCATCTCCCATTTATTTTGAGCTTTTTCAATTCTGCTTTGCTCATAGAGCACAGCACCTTCTCTGATGTGGGCACACCATGCTGAACAGTCCTGTGCCAGTGTCTCCAATGACACACAATCAGTTCCAAAGTTCTTAAGAGAGACCTTGGGAGTGTCTTTATATCTCTTCTTCTGACTATCATGTGAACTCTTGCCTCGTGTGAGTTCTCCATAAAGTAGTCTTTTTGGCAAGTGCACATTTTGCATTCAACCAATATGGCCAGCCCTTCAGAGTTGTGCTCTTTGAAGTAGAGTTTGATTGATTGGCAGTTTAGTTCTAGAAAGGCCCTGGTATTGATGGGGTGCTTGGGTGCTTGTGCTTGTACTTGGACCCCAATTTCTCCCTAGTCTCAGAAACACTGTCTCTGACAATCACTCCCCAGCCCAAGGACACTGTGCCTAGCAGTTACTGATGCGTGGGCCCCAGCAAGACCCTTATCTCTCTCCCTGGTGCAGCTACACAAAACTGGGTGAGAGAGTGCTGGGCTACTCAGCCCCCAGCCCTCAGATCATGTCTCTGGAAGCCTCCCAATTCCTTAGTAAGTTCCTCTTTTGTGAGAAAGCTTTCCTTTGTTGTCGAGTATTCTTTCATCAAGACAGACAGAGAGGGGTGTCTTGTCCGGCCCAAGGAGTTTTGTCCTTGGCTGGCCCAAGGGCTCTTCCTCCTGCCAGACTCCCAGGATCCATACCTTCATCATCTCCCTCCCTGTCTGGTATACTCCCTGTACTTTCCCATCCAGAGCTCCCAAAGATACCTGGACCTTTGGAGTACCTTATGGGTATCCCTGGCATTCCTTTCCCATGCCCTTTTCCATATAAACCCTAGCTCTATCCTCAGTCTCTTGCAGGTTCCTTAAGAATCCTTGCCCGCTGAAAAGTGTAACAATAAATCTTTGCCACCTTGACTTAAAGAATGCTTGAATCTGTGAATTCATTCCAGATGACCCCGTCCTGTACTTCAGTCTTTGAGGGGTCTCAACCCCTCAGACTGCAACAGTATCTTATCCTGCCAGGTGATCTTCAGAATCTTCCTAAGACAATTTAAATGGAAGTGATTCAGTTTCCTGGCATGGCGCTGGTATACTGTCCAGGTTTCATAGGCATACAACAATGAGGTCAGCACAACAGCTCTGGAGAACCTCAGTTTGGTAGGCAGTCTAATTAACCTTTTCTCTCTCACACTTTCCTTCAGAGTCTCCCAAACACTGATCTAGCTCTGGCAATGAGTTCATCAACCTAATATCAGTGTGTACATCCCTGGAAAGTGACCATTTGAAACTTCACCTTTTGCTGTAACCAATGGTTCCACTTATGGATGGTATGGTGGTGGCTGATGCAGCACCTATATTTTCTTGGAGTTAATTGTTAGGCCAAAATTAGCACAAGCAGCAGAATGGATCCACACTTTGTTGCATGTCAGCTTCAGAGGCTGCATTGAGTGCACAATCATCTGCAAACAGAAGATCATGCACCAACACTCCCTCCACTTTGGTATTGGCTTGTAGTCTTTTCAAGTTGAAGAATTTGCCATCAGTGCAGTAGCTGACCTGGAGGCTGTGTTTGTCCTTACTGAAGGCATTTGACGACATGATTGAAAACATCTTGCTAAAAAGCATGGGAGCAAGCACACAGCCTTGTTTCACTCCATTGGTGACTGGGAAAGCATGAGAGCATTGTCCTCATCCAGAGCCTGGGCAAGCAAGCCATCATGAAATTGATATACAATACTGGCAACCAAATTTTGACATAATTTTCCATAAGCCCTCATGACTGACAGTACCAAAGGCCTTGGTCAGATCTACAAATGTTGTAGTGGATGTGTAGGGAAGACTAGTATCTCTGGTATGAAGGCTGAGCCCTTTTCAGGGCTTCTTTCCCCCTTTGGTGTCTACCTGTTCCACTGAGCTCTCACCTGTGGCTCCAAGAAGCTGCAGCACTTGCAGCCACCACACCCTGGTAAACTGTTTCAGCAGACAGGCTAAAGCAGGTTGAGGGTAACCTAGGGGTCTCAAACCCATTCATGAGTTAGGGGAGATAGGAGATAATCTCAGAAGAAAGGCATTAGCAGTAGAAGCCCTGGAGAGCTTCCTGCACAAAGGGAGATTTGAGCCTTGCCCTGCATGAGGATAGGAGTGGGACAGTTTTCTAGGCTTGGAAATGTCTATGTGGTGGAAAAGAAGGGTAAAAATACAGTGGGTTTTAGTGTGTGGTTTTTTTTTTTGTTTTTTTTTTTTAGGCAATTGGGTTTAAGTGACTTGCCCAAGGTCATATGGCTAGTGTCAAGTGTTTGGTCCTTGGTCAGATTTGAACTCAGGTCCTCCTGACTTCAGGGCCAGTGCTCTATTCACTGCGCCACCTAGCTGCCCCATGTGTGTCTATTTTGGAAAGGAGAAGGTAAGACCTTATATCTGATATCTTGATCTTATCAGTCAAGTAGAAGGCAAGGCCATCTGTTGAAAGTGAGAGTAGATACCCATCACTTGGGGAAGGGCTGAACAAGTTATAGTATATGAATGTGCTGGAATATTAAAGTATAAGAAATGATGAAGGAAATGATTTCAGAAAAACTCGGAAAGACTTACTTGATCTGATGCGAAGTGAAGTGAGCAGAATGAGAAGAACAATTTATACAGTAACAGCAATATTATAAAGTTAATTAATTGTTAAAGACTTAGTTACTCTGATCAATAAAATGACCTGGCACAATTCCGAAGGATTTATGATGAAAAAATGCTATCCACTTCCAGATAGAAAAGTTAGACTCAGTGCAGATTGAAGTATATTCTCTCTCTGTCTCTGTCTCTCTGTCTCTCTCTGTCTCTTCCCTTCCCCCCTCCCCTCACTTTAAAAAGAGAATGATTAAAGCTTCTTATCCCTTTCTGTTCTAGGCCAGGATTAATCCCTATTTTCTCTCATGTATGACATACTGGGAATGCACTTTTTGGACGTTTCTTATGAAAAAAAGTCAAATCTTAGTTTGGGGGAGAATAAATTACCTTAAAATCAATTTAATAGTAATTTTTTTTAAAAGAAAGTGAGGGTAGAAGGAAGTTGGAAGTTTGAGTATAATGATAAAGGTTTGGAACAGTTGCTTTGAGGCATATCATGAGACAGAGGTGTCAAACTTGGGGAAGCAAAACTCCCAAGTGCAGCAGAACTGGATTAAAATGTAATTAGGAGATGTTTGATAAAACAAATAAAAATATAGTCGAACATAGATAATGTTAGTTTGTGGTTTTCTAAGTCAATACGCACCCCACAGGGATGTTCCTACTTGAGTTTGCCAACGTTGTCATAAGGAGGCAAAAAAAGATAAATGTCAAGCAGCAATGAGTTTAGTGCCTGGGTCTCAGTCTCCCTCTTTACCCCAGCCCTTTCCCTCATTGTAGAGGATTCTATGCTCCCCCAAATACCTTAACTTTACAGTTCCTCAATCCATTCAACTACCGTGAGCTATTTCTCCACTTCCCCCATTCACAAGGATGATTGTACTAGTGATCCCATCATCACCTGCTAGTGTCCCACTTCTGTGTACAAGAACTCTGACTTTCCTTTATCTGATACCTTTCTATTGGTTCTCTCTTCCTTACTCCTTCTACATCGACTCTGTTTTCACCATAATCTCCAGTCATTCCATCCCTCAGTACTATCCCAGACCATCACACCTGCTCAAACTACACTTGCCTCTCTCCCCAGTCTTGAGCCAGTTCAACTCTATGATATCCTGTACTCTTGAATCCCTTGTTCCCTTGTCCTGTAACCCCATTAAACAAAGCTTTGCCAAATCCCAAGCTTAGATTACTCTCACAATCTGCCTTCTTCCCTCCAATTCACATGCTGCTAAAAATACAACATGGTCCTGATTGGGTCCACTATAAATTCATGTTAGCTAATCTAAGTTGAGCTTTCATTGAAGCAAGGAAACCCTACTCTTCCCAATTGAATCTGTATCCCTCTGGCCACAGTGGTGGTTCTCCTTTTCTTCTTTTCATATCAAGACTCCCATGCCACTCTTTCTTCCCACCCTCTTGATTCATAACTTTTTTTAACTGAAAAAATTGAAGCCTGTTTGTCAAGAGCTCCATCTTCTTCCCTCTTCTTCATCTCAAATCCCCCTGACAATTATCCTCCATCTCCTGCTTTGCTTTAGTCTTTCTTTTTCTTTTTCTTTTTTTGCTTTAGTCTCTAATAATGAGGTGACCTTTCTGTTTGCCAAAGCCAACTCTTTTACATTGGCACTTGATCCCCGCCTCTCCCATCTTGTCCAGCAAATTGTTACCACCACCATCCCCAAGCTTTCTCTTCTTCACGCTCTCTATATCCATGAGTTCCTTCTCTATTGCCTACAAACATGCCTGCTTTTCTTAAACAAACAAACAAAAAAACCCTTCACCAGATCCTATCATGTCCTTCAGCTATCATCTCTCTCCTTCCCTTCTCAGCTAAACTTATTGAAAGGGCCATCTACAATCCATACCTCCATTTCCTTGCCTTTCTGTCTCTTCTAAACTCTTCAATCTGGCTTCTGACTTCATCATTCAACTGAAGCTTCCTTGTCCAAAGTTACCAGTGTCAAGTCTAATGGCCTCTTCTTGATTCTCACCCTTCCTAACTTCCCTGCAGCATTTGAATCTGTTGATCACTTTCTCCTCCTGTATACTCTCTTTTCTCTGGGCTTTTGTGCC